CTTGTGGGAGGATTCGAGTACCACATTTACCTATACCTATCTTGACCAGAAGTCAAGCACCACTGTTCTAGAGTGACCTCCAAGGTTCCATCTAGTTGAACAGGCTGTGAATATAATCAGTTTGCTTTTTAACCACCAACCAGCTTTTAATCCTGTGGTGACTTTCGTCATCGCCTGTGGTGACTTTTAAAAAATCTTTCTTGCCCTGGCCGGTGTGGCTCAGTTGTTAGGAACATCATCTGGTACACCGAAAGGTCATGGGTTCCATTCCTAGTTAGGACACATACCTAGGTTACAGGTTTGATCCCTGGCCCTGGTTGGGGCACCTGGAGGAGGCATCTGATCGATGTTTTCTCTCCTCTCCTCCCTCTTTCTCAAAATCAATGAACATGTCCTCAGGTGAGGATTTAAAAAAAAAATCTTTCTCTGCACCTTGTGAGACCACCCTATATTGTAGGAATGCAGTGCAAGCCCTTTGGCATTTCGACTTTCCTCCCCATTTACAAAGACATCATTTAGCCTGGGATTATTTGCAGGGAGGTTGAAGACTGGAAACGATCCAGCTGAGAGACTTTAAGAATTTGGGAGTTTTCTGGATTCCTTGTCCCATCCTGGCAACCCCTTATCTTCTTCTTGGGCTAACAACTGTTTCCAGAAAGGATTATTCATGTGATTGGTTCCACTTTGTAGAGGAAGGGAGACAGTCACAACCCTTGGCCAGGAGAGTTGCCCCTTAGCCCTCTGTGTGGTGAGGCCAGGGCTGTGGCTGGTAGGTTGACAGTTGTTCAGAAATGGCAAGGTTGCACTTCCTTCCTTCAGCGAGCACCTGCTCCGTGCTGGCTGTGCCAGGCTCTGCGCTGCAGCAGGGACCAGATGTAGTCCCTTTGAGCATCATCTGTGTGTAGAAGCGTTGAAGTGTGATGCTGGCCTCTGCACCAGACTCTCCAGGTCTCGAACCCAGGTGGAGGTGGTGCCTCTCAGGGAGTGGGATTCCAGGGCTCAGGCTCGACCTATAAAGAAGTGTTTGCTCTTTCTGGGGCTGCGGGGGTGTGCAGAGGACTCGGTGTGACCACAGGGCACATTGGGAGATTACAGTGTTGATTGGGGGAGTGGAGTGTGAGGGGCCACAGCACAGGAACCGACCACTGTAGAGGTCAGCGATGGCAGCCAGTGACAGGTTGAGTGTCTACTGAAGGAGCCCAGACTTAACCATCAGCTGTGGGCAGCACTAAAGGGTTTTTCACCACGAGGGACCCAGCCCAAGTCTGGTGTTAACTGCATTCCAGCCCTCTTCTATTTAGTCTGAGTTGGGAGGGAACCCCGAGTTGGCTCCCTGTAGTCTCTCGGAACAGAACCCCCGAGTGCTGGGCACTGCGAAAGGGGCCCTGGTCAGACCGTTTCCTGCTGGCAGCCTTGCAAGACAGGGGGCAATTTTTAGCAAGTCCCCTGGTGATCCTGTGGTGGGTGGTCTGAGCACTGACTCAGAGGTCCAGTTCGTGTCCCCTATCATGTTTACTAACGTGTTTCTTACCTTGTTTTCTTTTGAGAAGAAAATCAAGAGAAACAATTTTCCTTCCCAATACCTCCCCACCCACTTAGTATTTCTTGTTCATGTTGCTGCCAGCAGAGTGGAAGGGAGCCTTAAAAATAGCCTCTTTCACAGACAAACAGGGTCACACTGGCCCAGCGTCACCATCCACCCCAGGCCAGGAGGGGCAGTGAGGAGCTGACACCATGCTCCCCTGACCTGAGAGGCAAAGGAAAAAGGCAGCTGGCTCTCTCCCACCTTCCCCCATTTCTGTCTCCCTCTAGCTCCTCTGTGGCCCCTTGGACCACCAGCTCTGTCATGTGGGAGACTCAGTTCCCTGAAGCGTCAGCTTACCTCATTATGTAGGGAGATGCGGGAACCAGGTGCGAGGGCTGCAGCTGGCCCCTGGGCCCTCTAGCCTGCACCAAAGGAGCTTAAATCCTCACTCGAAGGAATCACACATTTTCAGGGGGCCTGACATTTTGTTGGGAACATTTTAATATTGTTAAGCTTTTCTGATATGCAAATATAATACATGCTTCTTATAGAAAATAGAAAAACCGGCCCTGGCCAGTTTTGCTCAGCAGTTAGAGCGTCGGCCCGGGACCAGAGTCCCAGGTTCGGTTCCTGCTAAGGGCACGTACCTCTGCTGCAGTTTGTCCCCGGCCCCGGTTGGGGTCGTGTGGGTGACAACCACTTGATATGTCTTTTTCACATTGATATTTCTCTCTCTCTTTCTCCCTCTCTCCCTCTCATTCTATCTGAAGATAAATGAAAAAACATCCTCGGATGAGGATAAAAAAAAAAAAAAAAACCCAAGAAAGTGCCCTGAAATCTGCATTAGAGACAGCCACCTGCCAGTCCTCTCCGCCTGGATCCACATCTAGATGTGTGGCTCACAGACGGGCGACTTCACGGAAGAGCGATCATGTGTACTTGCTCTTTTACAGCCTGATTTTTATATAATATAAACTTTTTCTAGGTAAGGGAATATCATCTTTTTAATGGCTGCACAGTAGACCACTATGTGGATAACTTTTTCTTTAACTTACCCCTCCCAACACTTGTTATTCTTTTTTCCCCTTGACTCTTAACATCTTGGACACTTGTCTGCATGTCTTCTTAGAATGAATGTTCACGTGTTGGTGTAGCTGTGAGAGAGGGTATGTCCATGTGAAATGTTGCTATATTCATGCGAGTGCAGTCTCAGTCCTGTGTGGACAGATTCGCACTTTCACCCTCACTTCCCCACACTGCAGGGAAACCCTAAATGTCAACATCAAGCTTCAGTAACGGCAAGAGATTACGCAATGACTCTCGCCTGTAGCCCCATGCAAATCAGTGTGGCCACATAACCCACATTTGTGTCTAATACCCTTTCTGGTGAAATCTAGACTTCAGGATTCTTTTGGAGCTAAAAATAACTGTGAAAGCCAGCCCTTTAATCTTATAGGTGCCGTGGCTCAGAGAGGTCAGTGGCCTTCCCAGGCAGTGGCAGTGCACACAGGACACCCAATCCAGTGTCCCCCCCGGGCAGTTACCTCCTTACACGCCGCTATGAGTCCCAAGTTTCCTGTCACACATGTGCCATGCCTTTCCCCTCCCCCTTCGCACAGTAGACTGAGGTCGAATCAAGTGTCACCCCCTTGCTCAGGGTCAGTTCTCATGCAGCCAGGAGGTGGCATTGCGTCTCCCTGGCAGGGCCACAGTTAGCAGCTCGGGTCCCTGGCAGAAACTGTCAGATTGTTCTTTAGGTGAACTCCCCTTGCTCCCCCAGTGTTTAACATTCCGTGCTGCCAGCCTCCTCCTTCTGGACTCTATGGGCTTCCATCGCCGTACCAGGCCCTGGTTTCTCTGTTTTTCTGAGTGTTCCTTCCTTGCTCCCTGCCTGCCTCTTCCTGTTGTCACTTCTTTGTGACACCATTTCCAAAGATCACTCTTGATTTCTCTGTTATTACCTCTTCACAATCAGGCCTTATCTGTTAAGGCCCAGTTATTCTTTTTTTTTATCATCCTCACCTGAGGACATTTTTCCATTCTTTGTTCAGATAGAGTGGGAGGAAGAGAGAGGAACAGAGAGAGAGAGAAACATCGATGTGAAAGGGACACATCGAGTGGTCGCCACCCGCACAACCAACCAGGGCCGGGGACAAACTGCAACCGAGGTACATGCCCTTAGCGGGAACCGAACCCAGGTCTCTCCGGACCACAGGCCGATGCTCTAACCACTGAGCCAAACCGGCCAGGGCAAGGCCCAGTTATTCTTTAGCATCCTGGCCCCAAATTTCCAGCTCCCTCCTAGTCACCTAACTCAAGGTTTCTCAACTTTGGCAGTATTGACATTTTAGGTGGATGATTCTTTGTCACATGGGACTGTCCTGTGCATTACAAGATGTTCAGCAGCATTCTTGGCCTCTGCTGACTGGCTGCCAGTAGCACCCACTTGGTTTTGACAACCAAAAACATCTCCAGATATTGCAAACATCCCGGGGTGGAGGGAGAATTGCCCCTGGTTGAGGACCATTGCCTTAGCTGGGTTCAACATTGACACAAAACTGAGCCCTGCTCCTCCCCTTTCTGCTCCCCAACTAGAACAGGGCTTATCAGACGCCACAAGATTCTAGCACAACTTTGAGCATAATAAAGCCCAGAAGACTGAGGGAAAGGAGCCAGGGCCACAGGATTCTGAGAGTTGGATGAGGCCCCCGAGACCCTATGCTCAGGCGTGCTAAGCTATTGGGGCCCTTTTACCCTTTAAGCAAAGACAGCCTCATATCCTTCTCAGGACTGTGGTCCAGTAGATTAGAGTTGATGTGAAAGGTGAATCTCTGTGCTATCCCTGCTCAGACCAACACCCTCACATTTGTACAGGTGTAGGGCAAAGTTTAGTGGTGGGAAAGCGTCTTTGGCATGGCTTTTGGTTGTACTTATCAAAGACACGTGGCATCCAGGAGTACTGTGTCCCCAAGACCAGGCCTGGTATTCAGTAAATGACTGCACAGGTCATTTTATTTATTTATTTATTTATTTATTTATTTATTTATTTATTTATTTATTTATTTATTTTCCTTATTGATTTTAGAGAGAGGAAAGGAGAGGGAGGGAGAGATAGAAACATCGATGAGAGAAAACATCAATTGGCCACTTCCTGCATGCCCCTCACTGGGGATGGGCCCACACCTGGGCATGTGCCCCGACCGGGAATCAAACCAGTGACCTCTTGGTACATGGGTCAATGCTCAACCACTGAGCCACACCGGCCAGGCTGAATAGGTCATTTAAATAGTGATTGTCTCTGGGTGCTGGGATCAGGGGTGACATTTTAATTCTCTTTTGCATTTCTTCATTTTCAAGACTTTCGATAATTGGGAGTGTTTATTACTCTACAAAAAGGCAGGAAAACCCATGACTAGTTTCCCCTAAGTTAGAGGGAAAAAGTCCCTGCCTCATTCCTCATGTCTTGCCTCCTCAGGTCTGACCCACCGGAAACATGGCAACCAGCGCGGTCCCCAGTGACAACCTCCCCACATACAAGCTGGTGGTGGTGGGGGATGGGGGCGTGGGCAAGAGTGCCCTCACCATCCAGTTTTTCCAGAAGATCTTTGTGCCTGACTACGACCCCACCATCGAAGACTCCTACCTGAAACATACAGAGATTGACAATCAATGGGCCATCTTGGACGGTGAGAGCTGGCTGACAGCCCTGCAGGGGGCTGAGGCTTTAGAAGCAGAGGTTCGGGGCAAGTTCATTGGGGCATGATGGTTTTCTTCAAGTTGCCATTAGGAAATAGTTGGTATTATGAGACAGATGGTACACGGCCATGTATGGTTTCCAGGATGAATTCTGAACAGCTTTGTGGAAACCAAAATGTGTATTCAACAAAGAGGCAGGGCTAGAACCATGCCGACTCAGTGATTTCATGTTTGGTATTTCTTGCCGATCAGAGGCTCTGATTAACATTTACAGATGTCTCTAGCTAATAATAATAATTTTTTAAAAAGGGTGGAAATAAATTTCTTAAGCATAGTTTATTTGACAAATAAACCTTGAGGGAAAAAACTTAATATCTGACATTGTATTTCTAGTTTAGCCTAAATTGGTCTAGATTAGTAGTTCTCAAAGGGTGGTAGCCCAGCCAGCAGCAGCAGCAGCACCGGAGAACTTATTAGAAAGGAAAATCCTCAAGCCCTGCTGATTCAGAAATTCTGAGGGTGAGGCCGAGCAATCTGTGTTTTAACAAGCCCTCCAAATAATGCTGAAGTTAAAGAGCCACTACTCTAGATGCTTCCTTTATACCCTGAGCCTGTCTCTTAAAGAGCCATTAATCATAGACTGTCATTCTAGGAGGGGAGCTGGGACACAAGTCCTCTGCCAGATGTGTGATTTGCAAGTATCTTCTTTCAGTCTGTGGCTTTCTTTTTCTTTTCTTTTTTTTTTTAATCCTCACCCGAGGACATTTTTGCATTTATCTTCATCGATGTGAGAGAGACACATCGACTGGTTGCCACTCACACACAACCCCAACCAGGGCCGGGGACAAACTGCAACCGAGGTACATACCCTTATGGGAACCGAACCCAGGTCTCTCTGGTCCGCGGGCCGACGCTCTAACCACTGAGCAAAACTGGCCAGGGCTACTTATTCCTTTTTATTCTCTTTAACAGTGTCTGCCAGAGATAAGATTGTTACATTTTCATGAAGTCCCATTTATCAGTTTGTTCTTTTATGGAGCGTGCTTTTGTTGTTCTAAGAACTTGTCACCTAACCCAAAGTCATACACGTTTTCTCCTATATTTTCTTCTAGAAGTTTAATGGTTTTAGGTTTATCATCTACCTTGAGATAATATTTACATATGGTATGAGGTATGGAATGAAATTCATTTTTTATATGAATATACAATTGTTCCAGCACTGTTTATTGAAAGATTGTCCTTTCCTGATTGAATTGCTTTTGTACCTGTGATGAGAATTGTTTGTCCATATATTCTGTTTCTCTGATCTCTCTGTTTTAGCACTGGTACTACACTGTCTTGTTAAATGTAGCTTTATAATGAGTCGTGAAATCAGGTACTGTTAAATCTCCAACTTTGTTCTTTTTCAAAGTTGTTTTGGCTAGCCTAAGGTCCTTTGCATTGCCATGTGAATTTTAGAATCAGTTAAATTATAAAATTCTAGATTTTGATTGGGATTGTGTTGAATCTATACATCAGTTTGGGAGAATTGACATCTTAACAATGCTGACCTTCCAACCCATGAGCACAGTATCTCTCTCCATTTGTTTAAGTCTTCTTCAATTCTCTCATTAATTGTTTTACAGTTTTGAGTGCCTAGATCTTTTACATATTTGGTGAGATTTATACCCATATCTGTATTATAAATGATACTGGTTCTTTATTTCAGTTTTCAGTTGTTTGTTACTAGTATATAGAAGTACTATAGAATTGTGTATATTAATCTCGTAACCTGCAACCTTGCTAAACTCACTATTCCAGCTTTAAAAAATTTTTTTTGTAGATTTCATTGGATTTTCTGCATAGAGGATCATCTCTATGAGTAAAAAGAGTTTTACTTCTTTTCGATCTGGATGGCTTTTACGTTTTCCTTGCCTTCTTTCACTAAGATACTTGTCTTGTTCTTGATGTTAAAGAGAAAGGTTTCACTGTCTGCATTAAGTTTCATGTTAGCTGCAGGTATTTTATAGATGCCCTTAATCGGGTTGAGCAAGTTTCTTTCTATTCCTGATTTGCTGAGAGTTTTTATCAGGAGTGGATGTTGGATTTTATCAAATGCTTTTTTGTGTCTACTGAGATGATTAGATGATTTTTCCTTTTTCGTTTGAAAGTATGACAAATGAACATTGATTGATTTTTCTAATGTTAAACCTACATTGCATCCCTGGAATAAACTTTATTTGGTCACAGTGAATTGTCTTTTTATGTATTCTTGGCTTCGATTTGCTAAATTTTGTTTAGAATTTTTGCATCTGTGTTCTTGAGAGATATTTGTCTGTGGTTTTCTTGTAATGTTGAACAATGCTGGCTTCATCAAATGGATGGGGAAGCATGCTCGCTTCAATTTTCTGGAAGAGTCTGAACAAAATTGGCATTATTTCTCCCTTAAATGTTTAGTAGAATTCACCTAGGAAGACATCTTGGTCTGAGGTTTTATAAATTTAATTTCTTTAATAGATACAAAGCTATTTAGGTAATCTATTTCTTTTTTCAATGAGCTTTGATCATTTGTGTCTCAAAATTTTGTTTAGTTAAACAAAGTTATCAAATTTATTGGCATAAAATTGTTCATAATATTCTCTTATTATCCTTTTAATATGTATAGAATCTGTGGTGAAGTTACCCCTCTCATTCCTGATATTGGTCATTTGTGTCTTCCCTTTTTTTCCTGATCAGGCTGGCTAGAGATTTATCAATATCATTGATTTCCTCAAAGAACTAATTTTGAGTTCATTAATTTTTTTTTTTCCTATTTGGCTCCACTGATTTCTAGTCTCGTCTTTCTTATTTCTTTCTGTCTGCCTACTTTGGATTTAATTTGCTCTCTTTTCCTAACTTCTTAAAGTGGAAGCTGATGTCATTGATTTGAACATTTGTTTTTACCCTAGGCATTCATTTGGTGCTATAAATCTCCCCCAACTGCTCATTTAGCTGCATCCCACAAAATTTAATAAGTTCTGTTTTTCTTTTCATTCAGTTCAAAATACTTTCTAATTTCCCCTCTGATTTCTTCTTTGACCCATTGGGCCCCATGAAAACATATCTCAAGACCCCCTCCCCTCATTCCCCCGCTGCATCCCAGGGGCAAGTAGCCAGTACTTCTCCCTTGATATCTTCTGGAGTCACATGTTGGCAGGTTGGGACCACTGCCAGGAGGAATCTTCCCTTGGCACCAGGGAGCCAGCCACACCTGCCGCAGGATTCTAGCTCCTGCCCTCTGAGCGTCCCGAGTGGCTTGGCCGTCTGCGCCCTGCCAGCACTCCGGAGGAGAAAAGAGCAGCTCTTTTTCTGGGAACAGTGCATGGTGGAGGCAGCCACCCTTCCTCCCTGCACCCTGTCTGCTCCATAGCCGCCCTTACCCAGAAAGGGGAGCACAAGTCACAGTGATAAAGTCCTCATCACTTATGATGCTCTGCTAGGTGGCATTACTTTATTGAAGCCATGTCCCAGGAGGGGCACGGGCTTCCCCACCTGACTCCCTTTCAAATGGACACAGCCCTCTGCCTCCCATGGAAGGTCTGTGGATTAGAGACGAGACAGCAGCAGGCATGGTCCTGGGAGGCATATCACCTCTAGAAATGATCATTTCTATTGTACTTCACCCTGAAGAGTACTTTATAGAAGTTCAAGTCAGTTTTCAGTGGTTTTCCTTGAAGCCAGCGTGGGCCGTTTGAGCGCAATAACTGCTTTTGGTACAGCATGCACGTGGTTTGTCCAGTCACCCTGCAGGCACTTTCTGAGCTCTCGCTGGGTGCTGAAGCTTTTGGGGGACCCACCCTTTGGGGCTCCACTCCATGGTGGGGAGCTGAGCCAGGCCTGGAGGCACACACAATGGGAAGGCTTCAGGGAGAGGTTGGAGGCTGGGCCCTCCAGTGGGGAAGCGGACTGTGGCCCGCGGGAGGGCAGTTGGGAGAGCTGTGGAGAGGACACTCTCGTTGGAGGTCATGGCTTGGGCAAAGGGCACAGCCTGGCTGGTTCTAGGTGGCCACACCCACACCCTCTGGTGGGAGAAGAAAGGTTGGCCCAGCTGGGGCAGCTGGGCCTTGGGAACGCGGGAGTGCCTCCCTTCCCAGTGTGTGGCCTTGAGCAGGCCCCTTAACTCCCTGAGTCTCCATTTCCTCTAAACTAGAGGCCAGTAATACCTTCTGCCCAGACGTGAGGAGGACTGAGAGGGTGCGTGTGTTTAAAGGCCCTGGCACAGTTCTTGCTGCCAATAGGATCATAGTGGGTGTACCTCCTTTTAGCCAACGAGCTCAGACTGTACCCTGGGCTGCAGGCCAAAGTCAGATACCCTAGACCCCTTGCCAGGGTTTGCCTCCCTCTAGAAGCCCTGGAGAAGGAGGGCATGGAGGAGGAAAGGGAGGGAGAGAGGTGAGGGTGGGGCCGAGGAGGAGGGCTCAGCAGGGACTCAGGCTGGCTGCCCCCTTGCCTGGGGCCCGGTACCACACCAGTGTGTGGGGCCTGACTTCTGAAATCCACATGATCCAAGAGCAGCCCCAAGGTTTCCACTTCAGTCTTCCTCAGCCACACTGCAGCTCCGTCAGCCTTCAGGTGGGGGACTGGGGCAGCCAGACCGAGCTGCACAGTGCTGGCCCTCGGTCTCCAGAACCTCTTGCCTCTCCTTCCTCCTCCCCCGTCTGGCTGCCTCTGTCTCTCTCTGTCTCTCTGTCTCTCTCTGTCTCTGTCTCTCTCTGTCACACACACACACACACACACACACACATACATACACTCTGGCAGAGCACCTCTTCTCCCACAGTGACTAATGCTTTCTGTCTCGAGAGTCCTCCTACCTTCGTGACATCTGGCAGGGTGAATGCAGGCGGAATCATAATTTCTTAAAAGTGCCTGTTGTCTTCAGCCTCCCCCAGGGAGTCTTGGAGACAGAGCTGCTGACAAGGGGCCTATGACCAGGCACTTCCAGGTGTGTGTGTGTGTGGCGGGAACAGGG